TGGTCAAGTCATTCTGACTCATGTTGATCCCGTGTGTGCAGAGGAAAAATGATCCCTAGGATTTTTCAGAGCTATGACTTTTCAGAAAGAGATCACCAGGCCAGTCTGGGTGATCTCAAATCACCAACCTTTTTGCTCATAGTCAAGCATCAACCATCCATACCACCCGGGAACTTCCCAATAGTGCAGTGTAAACCGTACAGATAAACTAGCCCTGGTAGGATAGGATATGGAGTTTCCACGTTCAGAGGAATCCTGTTGTTTTCTTAATTATGTTATTGTGTTATCGTCTGAGAACAAGGAGGAAATTGTGAATGAGCATTCTATAATTTCCCCATATAACCCAAGGATTTGACAGATAAAGTAGTACTTTATGTGGTAATTACAGGAATTGCCATGGAAATGTTGTCAGTGCTGATTTGGATTCTAAAAAATCACGATGTGATAAATGTCTGTGATATCAACAGAAAGTTCCATGTACTGCTCAGCTTTGAGGCTGGAAATCTTACTTTGAGTGGAGAAATGTAAATGGGAGCCTAATTCCTATGTTTGGGCATCCTTGCTCCTTCTGCAGGCTGTGGCCAAGTTGAGTTTATCTTTACCATTATCTGTGCTATAAGCAGCCTGGTGCGCCTCTACTAGGGTCCAGAGAAACGGTTGCATCATGAACGAGAAGGGAAGAAGTGCTGTTTGGTTTATTAAAAGGCCAACCACAGCTAAATGGGTTTCTTTCGAAGTAGGAACTTTTCAGAGCCTTTTGATGTGCTGAAGTTCAGTGCAAATCTCCAGTCACTACTTACCACTGTCAACAGGCAACAGACCAGTTTGCCCCATTAGGACAGATGACTGCCTGGCCCATGAAAGAGGCAGCGTGAGAATCTGCTCTTGGTGGGACATCAGTGGTTTTGGAAAGTGAGAGAAGGAAAAGACCACAGGAACTTCAAAATTATTGAATGACACCCTGCCTCAGTTCGGCACACTTGACAAGCTTGTAGACAAAAACTAAGCATAAAATCAAGTTAGGGAGGAGGGGCCAAAGAACAGTAAACAAGGGCAAATATATGGAGCCGTAGGTGTTACTAGTAAACCAAGGGTTTATTATAAGCTACCAAAAGTTATGGGATGTGGGCCATTCATTTGACTCTTAATATTTTCCTAGTTGTCTAAAAAGGAGAGATACCTGTTATATAAAGTTAGAACAGAGCACTATCTCTGGAAAAGCAGAGATTTAAAAATAAATAATAAACCAAAAATTCCCACCCTTTTGGATTCTCATAAAAGACTGTTACGTAAGAGGCTATGTGCAAACCATATTTGTCCCCACTGAATTTCTCACTCAATGCCAGAAAAAATGAGGCTGATGCATGTAATCGAAATATTACGCGTCATTTCTTTGCTGTTGTTTTTAATTACCATCAAGTCAGCCCCAACTCCTGGTGATCTGATGCACACAGATGGAACCTACCTGCACTGTCTTCAGACCTTTGGTGTGCTTGAGTCCGTTGCTGCAGCACCTCTGTGTTTGACACTCTTCCAGCCTAGGGGGTTCACCTTCCAGCCCTACATCCTGTAATATTTGTTGTGGTCCATGGAGTTTTCACTGGCTCAGTTTTGGAAGTTGATCACCAGCTCTTTCTTCCTTATCTGCCTTGGTCTGGAAGGTTTTCTGAAACCCGTCTACCATAGGTGACCCTGTTGGATTGGAAATACCAGGGGCATAGCTTCCAGCATTACAACAACTTGCGAGTGGGACAAACTGACACATGGATGATGGATCATTTATCTACCTGGTTTTTATTTCAATACATTTACAATTTTAACAAACGAATATGCACACTTAGTTAAAATCAAATGTACAGGTTTTAAAATGAAGATCAGCAGCCTATAAATTATTAGTCTTTCTCTTCCCTTTTCTCCTTAGCTCCACAGCAAATTCATTTTCCATTCAGCAGTCCTTACAGTTTGTTTCATGACATTGACTGCAATCCCCATAACATAACAGCTCTCTTCCTGCTTCCTTTCTGTGGTTACCTTTTGCCTATGCCCTTCTTTCATATGGATTCCTGCCCACTGAGCTCTCTCCTTACACAATCGCTGCCCTTCTGCTCTCCCATGAGTGATTGTTCTAAGGAGTGTATCTACCTGATGTAACTGTTCACCTCATATGACTTTCTGTTGTTCGGTTGGAAGCCAGGGGAGTGAGTTCAATTCCAAGTCCTATGGGTGACTAGGGGCCATATTTGTGGGGTTTCACCAGTCTCTATCAAATCAGTAAGTCTGGTGGTTTTTTTTTTAATTATTTTGAGTTTTGTTCCATGTTTTTCTCCTACTCTATCCAGGAATCCTGTGATGATCCCTTGCCAAGTGGTTGACAGTGGTACCCAGGCACCAACTAGTTCTGGTCTCATGGTCAAGTAGCCTGGGCTTCACATTGTCCATTAGTCCTTTGAGCAAATTGTTTTTATGTGTCTTTGGTTTTCTTCATTCTTTGCTGCAGATGAGGAAAGACCAATTATTGCATCTGGATGGCTGCTTGTAAGCTTTTAAGACCCTGGTCGCTACTCACCAAAGTGGAATGTAGAACAATGTTTTAATGTAGTGAGTTATGCCAATTGAGCCTGATGTCCCCTGTGATCATGGTCCCAAGTTCGGAACCCCCACAACTTGCTCCCTCAGGGTGGTTGGCTGTGTACAAAAGTTATCATAACTTTGCCCCTTGTTAGTTCTATTTACACAGACATTCTTACAGAACATACAAATAGGTGTGTAGACAAATCATTTGCCAAACTTATATAAGGTCATGGATATATTGTCTTTTGTGTAGATACAACTTATCATTCATCCTGTCTGCCTATGTGTCTACACATAGATTAATACTTGTCGTTATTGCTAATGCAGTGTTGTGTATATAAAAGTGTTTATTGTCTGTACCTCTTGCGCAACCCTCTGTGTCTTCCTTTTCCTTAGTTTACTGTTTTGTTCACTCACATTTGGTATGTTGTATTTCCTTTTACCCAAATCAACACTTGACTCTTACCTCTCTAGCAATTTTCTGTCCTCTTTCCCCACATCCCTGATAACCAAGAAAGTTTCCTTCCATATATAAACCTTTCCTTGACTTTTTACAATAGTGGACTAATACAATATTTGTCCTCCTGTAATTGAATTATTTCACTCAACTTAATGTCCTCCAAGTTCATCCATGTTATGTGGTGTTTCATAGATTCTATACCATACATTAGTGTTGCATAGTATTCCGTTGTGTGTATGTACCACAATTTGGTATCCATTCCTCTGTCGATGGACACTTAAGTTGTTTCCATCTCTTTCCTATTGTGAGTAGTTCTGTGATGAACATATGTGTGCATATATCTCTTTGTGTCCTGGCTTTCACTTTTTTAGGATAAAAACCAAACCAAAGTCACTGCTATTGAGTCAATTCCAACTCACAGCAACTCTCTTTTGGTTTCCAAGGGGGTAAATCTTCATGGAAGGAGATTGCCCTGTCTTCCTTCTGCAGAGTAGCTGGTGGGTTCGAACCACCAGCCTCCTCCTGGTTAGCAGTCAGATGCCTTAGGCACTTCCACACCAGAGAGCCTTCTGTGGGATATATACCTAGTGATGGTATTGCTGGACCAAATGGTATTCCTATTTCCAACTTTTTCAGGAATCACCATACCAATTTCCACAGTGGTTTATCGTGTGACAGTCCCACCAGCAGTATATAAGAGTCCCAATCTCTCCACGTCCTTGCCAGCATTTGTTATTTTCTGTCTTGTTGAACTTTCCTGTTAGTGCCCCCCGCTCCACTTTTGACTTCTCATTCTAAGCATCTGCATCTTTGCTTTTATATTGTCCAAGCTGAATACCATATATAGAATATTGTATATATTTGGTTGTATACCATCATTAACATCTGTCTATTGTCAACAGAGAGATTCTTAGGTTGAAAATCAAATAAATCTTCACATTGTTCTGACTAGGGTGGGGTTGGAAATGTAAGCTCTACACTTACAAGTGCAAAGACAATGCACTTTCTTGTTCTCCCTAAGTGATGTGAGCCACACCTTCTGTGTAGCGGGGAGGACATTGTCTTGACAATTACTTTGATGTCACTGTGTCGGGATCCCCAAGTCCACTGTGCACAGCCAGGTGCCATGCCAGGACCCCTATATAGTTGTATTCACACTAAGATACGTTGTAGTGAAAGGATGCAAAGCAGAATCATTAAGGGGAGAAAGGCATGGGGCAGGTACATTTTCAGGAAGAGCATGGACAGGTTTTCTAGAGTCCTCTACCAGAGGAGTCACACAAAACCCAATGCAACCCACTGCCATTAACTCCATTCTGATTCATGATAACCCTCTAGGACAGAAAGGAATGGGCCAATAGTGTTTTGAAGGCTGTAATCTTTGTGGAAGTTGACTGCTACATCTTTATCTCTGTGGTGATTTTTAGCCCCTGGCTATTAAGTTAGTAGCCAAGTCTGTCTGTCTGTGCCACAGTGTCCCCAGGGCTCCAGAGTCACACAGGACAAACTTACTTCTTCCAGCAACAAGTTGTGACAACACGTGTGAAGTAGGGTCTACTAGGGAAGGTCATAGATAGTCAGTGTCCAAGGTTTTTTAGGGGGCTGGTGAGGTGGACACCATCTTCCAAGCCCATATTAAAATTCTGAATTCTCAGAAGGAAAGCACATGTTCAGCAGGAACCACATTGCTTGCATAGAGTACAGACACTGCAAACCGTTATCAGTTAGGGAAGAGGGGCAACTCTTCCAAAATGTAAGTTCCCAGAGGGCAGCCAAGGGCCAACCCTGCAGGCAGGCTGTGGAAGGCTGATTTCTCTCACTTTGGTTGAATGATCGGTGAGTTCAAACTTCAGCTCCCCTTGAGGTTTGCTTCAACTAGTCTCTAAAGAAAATGTAGTAGGGCAGAAAATTTGTATAACAAGTTGGGCACCAAAGACATATTTTCTTTCTTTCTTTTTCTTCCTGAAAGGGTCCATCTTGCTGGGATGACGTCTTAATTCCAAACCGGATGAGCGGTGAATGCCAGTCTGCAAGTTGTCGTGGGACTGGAGCAGTAAGTACCTGCTCAAACTCACATACATATGGACAGACAGCAGGCACACACGTGTGTGTGCGCACACAAGCTTTCCTCTGCCACCTCCTTTTTCCTCTGCCTACCTGTATCACTATGTTATATGGTCCTTTTCCTGGACACCTAATTGCAGCAGGTCACTGTGCTGGAAGGTTCAGTTGACCCTCCTCACAATGAGTTATTCACGGATTGTAAAGAACCTAAGAAAGAGAAGTCACAAAGATTCAATGTTAATCATTTTCCTAAAATATCCTTGATGTTTTCAATTATATTCCACTTCATTTCAAAATTGTGTTTTTCCTTAATATCTTTCTACCTTTCTTTTTTGGTTTTCTGACATAGTGGATAGGTAGAAAATATGATATGGATGACTGGTGTTAAGGTTGAATTAACCTCCTCTCTTGTTCTCTGCAATCACTTTTCTCTTTGCAAACAAACATGTGCCATAAGTTTACCATTCAACAGGTATTTCTTGAAAGAGACCTTGGGTTCTAGAGCTATTTTTAAAAGAATGTTTTTCTGATGGTCACAAAGTTTATATAACCTCCTTTTGAATTTGTGTATCAATCTGCCTTTTACCTACAAAAATTTCTGGGTCCCTCGTAATCAATTAACTATATTTCCTAACCTGTAAATATTGGTATGTTACCAACACAGATGTCAGTGTTAGTTCACAACTGTCAGAGCCAGCTGGCAGCTAATATCTGTGCTAGGAAACAAAGTCTGTGAAAAGCAACAGGTAGGATGTTTGAACAAGAATCGTGCAACAGGCCCCCTCTCTAGTCTGCTGGGACTTTGCAGGGATGGCAGGATAGCAATAGGCTCCAGTGAAATAGTTCGTGTCCATCAACTAGAGACAGGAACTGTGGACAGACTGTATGAAAGCAAAGCTATTAAACAAAGAAAGGCAGAGGAATCGTGAAAAAAAATAATGACTTGCGTGCCACTCACAGATATTGCGGCATGATGTAGGCTTGCACACTTCCTTCACTCTAGTAAGCGGATGACAGCACAATGTCTACATACCACAGAGCAGAGCTGGTAAGTGTAATTACGTATATATGCATATATGCAGATACAATGATATTATAACTTGACTCGTATACAATTTAAGCGTGTGCCTATAGGGCTGTGTTAGGTGCTGTCGAGTTGGTTCCAACAGAATAAAACCCTACCAGGTCCCGCACCATCCTCACAATTGTTGCTGTGTTTGAGCCCATTGTTGCAGTCACTATATCAATATATCTAAATATAATTTGTGCACATATGTGTAAGGAGCCATGCTGGTGCAGTGGTTAAGTGCTTGGCTGCTAACTGAAAGTTAGTGGTTCAAATCCACCAGACGCTCCTTGGGAGAAAGATGTAGCAGTCTGCTTCCATAAAGATTTACAGTCTTAGAAACCCTATGGGGCAGTTCTGTTCTGTCCTATAGGGTTACTAAGAGTCAGAATCTACTTGATGGCAATGTGTTTAAATGTATGTATCATGTGTCCATATACACATACACATATATATGTATATATATATCTATAGTTATTGTTAGTTGCCTTTCAGTTGGTTCCAACTCATCATATTGTTGTACATAATGCATTGCCTGGTATTATACCATTTTCATGCCATGATTTTTGGTATGTTTGAGTCAATTCTTGTGGCTATTGTGACATTCCATCTCTCTGAAATTTTCCTCACTTTTGCTGACACCCTATTTCAACATACATGACAAGAGAATAGTCTTTCCTAAGGACGCACCCAAAATAAAAGAGTAAAAGTCTTACTCACTTCCAGGGAACCTTCTGATTGTACTTCTAAGTCTGATTCATTCGTTCTTTTGGCAGTCCACACTGTATCCAATATTCTTCAACAATGTCAGAGTTCAAAGTCATCAATTCTTCTTTTTCCTTTCTTTTTCATTATTGAACATCTGCATGCATATGAGGTGACTGAAACAAATATGTTTTATATAGAAGAACCTTTAGTCACCAAGGTATAATTTGCATGCACGTGCACACACACATACACGCACACACATATGTATGTATAAAGGAGCTATGGTAGCGTAGTGCCTAAGGCATTTGACTGCTAACAGAAGGTTGGTGGGTCAAACCCACCAGCCACTCTATGGAAGGAAGACTGGACAATCTACTTCCATAAAGATTTACCACCTCAAAAACCTATGAGTCAGAATCAACTCGATAGCAGTGAGGTGTTTTTTGTTTTGTTTTGTTTTGTTTTTAAATATATGACTCCATCCATCCATCATCCATCCATCCATCCATCCTTGCCTACTCTGGTATGTGTAACATTGTGTTGACCATCTTTACAGTAATGTGAGTTCCTTTGAAAGACTACTTCAGTCATTGGCAATTTTCCTGTCCAATCTGTGTCTTGGTGGTAGTTGGTGGGATTCAGTCAGCACAATAGATAGTTATGCATTTCTAAAGAATTAGCTTCAAATCAGTCAAGGGTGGCGTAGTGTTTGGTGGGGTTGAAAATCATGCCCTTTTGAATATTTGTTGTTGTTGTTGTTGTTATGTGCCGTCGAGTCGGCCCCGACTCATAGCGACTCCTCCTTGGGTTTCCGAGGCAGTATCACTACGGAAGTAGATTGCCCCATCTTCCTTCCGAGGAGTGGCTGGTGGGTTTGAACCGCCAGCCTTCTGGTTAGCAGTCAAGTGCCTTAGCCACTATGCTACCAGAGCTCCCTTTGAATATTTAACTGATGATAAATATAAATAGATACAATTTAGAATAAATTAAGTAATATTTGTGACACTATGGCGAAGTACATAATCTAAAAAGAAAAAAAAAAACCTTTCAATACACATTGTGTAAAAATACTGGATTAAATTATTAAACATGTATTTTAAAGACTGACTTGCTGACAATATATTAAGGAAAACATCGTATGCTAAACATTAAGAGTAAACAGGACTCCCGAGAGGTCACTGTGTGAACTGCAGTCAGCTGCTCCCTGGAGGGTAACTACTAACTACTAGTGGCTAGTTTCTGCAAGCAGCCCCTACCTGCAAGTCAGGAACAGTCTAGAGTCTCGTTAAGATGGACAGTGAGATCACAGAATCCTACAGGAAGCTTAGACCCAAAAACACACTGGCTCATTAGATCAACTCAAGAGGAAGCTGGCATGGACTCTTGACTGCTTTGTTCTTAATCAAGGTAGAGGGGAAGTTTGTGGCACAGAGAGCCCCAAGTCTAGAACACTGGTTAACATAGTTGTGCGCTGCTAGTGCCAAACACTTGACTGAAACTAACCCAAATCTTCCCAGAAATCGTGGACTTTCCAGGCAGTCCTCCAGTAATTCCCCCAGTAATGTTTCATGAAGCAGGAACCGACAATCAGAAACATCACAGAATATACTTGAAAATCAGCCGCCTGCACGAGGGCCAGTGACTGCAAACCTGAAAAAGATGGGAAGCTGGACTCATCAGGAAGAGAAACCAGTGTCCTTAATGTGTTCAAAAATTAAAATACGCGAAACAAATGATTAAAAAATTTAAAAGACTCTCAGAAATCTCCAGGCAGATTACAAGATGAAACTAAAATGCACACATGTAGAAACATACATACTGGATTTCTAGAACTAAAACTATAAAAAATGACATAAAATGTACTTGACAGGTTAAGCAGCAGAGAAGAAACAGGTGAAGAGAAACTAGATCTACAATTTGATCTGAAAATACCATATACAATGCGGCCAGAAAACCCTATAAATTTAAAATATAAAGAAAAGGTAAAAACCTGGAACACAAAATGAGAAGTTTTAAATAATGGATTTCTAACAGAAATTAATAACAGTAGAAAGACATATTTCTTTTTCAAAGCACATGTGGGATGTTTTGATAATTTTTCATGTTTTAGAATGTGAAGCTGTTTAGACATCAGTTCCAAAATCCTAGCCATAAGCATCTCATATGCATGGAAATTGGACCCCCACCAAGTCAGTTAAAATATCCAAGTGGAAGTTTGCGCCCAAACAGCAGTGAAAATACGTCACATATGAAATCTTTGTGATGCAGCTAAATCGATATTTAAAAGGGAATTTACAACCATAAATGATTATTTTAACACAGAAGCAAGGACTTATTTAAGACCCAGAACTTGACTGGATCACTTTCTTTTTCTGAGTCTCACAAATTTTCTTCCTTTGGCAGGTTTCAGGTTTTTTCTCACTCATTTTAGTGATAAATACTGTATTTGAATTTTCCTTCTCTGACAGGTTCCCACATTACACAGGTTCTGGCTTTTGCAGGTTTTACTGTGTATTGTTTTAAAAAGCAGAAATTGAAATTGCCATGTCCAACTGTATTTTCTCCTACATGGAATATATACTTAATAAATGTTCAATAAATAAATGGAACGTGTGCACACTGTTGTTGTTGTTGTTGTGTGCCGTCGAGTCAAACCCGACTCATAGCGACCCCCCTTGGGTTTCCGAGGCAGTATCACTACGGAAGTAGGATTGCCCAACCTTCCTTCCGAGGAGTGGCTGGTGGGTTTGAACCGCCAGCCGTCTGGTTAGCAGGCAAGTGTCTTAGCCACTATGCTACCAGAGCACACTAGTATACACTAATATATAGCAGTTCCTGGCAGAAGAGTTCCATGCAAGAAGTTTAATCCCATAGCCCTTTGCCTTACCTTAAGCCCATATTTCTGGAATGCATGTACATATAATCAAGAATCCTGAATTTTCTAAGGTCAATCTGGGTGGTACATGTGTTTGTCAAAGCCATTTTTAATGAGTTTATCATCCTTAAATGTGCAGTGCATTGATGCTTTTTTGACAGTATCTTGTATACTGCGGATTATGTTTTCTTAAAAAGTGTTATTTTTATCATTTGGACAAAATAATCACATGATAAAGTTCAAAACTGTGGTGCCTAATGTACTCTTAATTAATATTTATACTGTTAAGATGCTATAAGTAGCTAATTTTAAATAGCAATAGAGTTTAACCTGATACCGA